TCGCAACCCCTACTATGTTATTATTAGTGTTAGTAAAAATGAAAACCACAATACAATGCACCAACATCATACTATCTATTTCAGCTAGCTCTTCATTAAAAACTGTTCTCATCGAGGATTGAGGTAAGAATGTGAGACAGAAAACAAAGATGCTTCGATACTTCGATTGGGCTACAATACCGTACGTACGTACGTAACGTACCTTCTTTCACATTTACTTCGTACTTCTAATAAGTAACGTACGTACGGTGTACTTGTACCATACGGTACAGTAAAAGGAACAAGGAATAATGACTCAATTTTAATCCCAATCAGTTCATTTTTCTACATACGTAATACRTACGTACGGTATTAAGATACATACCGCATGGTACGAACGTCGTGCAACCTTGCTGAATACAGTTCAGTACGAGTGGTTTGTACTGTACGGTGGTTTGGCTCGGAGGAATGAAAACGCGCCGGGTGGGCATTGTTTCTCGCTGAAACACATGGCAGAGAATCGCCCTACGGATGGTTTGCACGGTAGCGTACGAGTGCTTCACGTACGTTACGTACGTACACATACCTCTATCCGACGACGGCATCTTCGATAAAGAATTCCGTTCAACGCTCTGCGCTTTTGTTCTTGGATCGGTAGTGTCGCACATAGAGAGTATGAATTGCAGCGGTTTCGTCTGCAGGTTATCGAGTGTGTAGCGCTCTACCGCGTTGTGGTGGGTTGTGTTTTGTTGTGAAGCCCCCGTCCAGCTACGGTACATCAGCAGCAACAGAAGAAACACGGACACGGGCACCCCTGAAGGAATCGATCGCACCGCACGCCTATTCTAGAAACTGCTGCGCTGTAGCACTACTAATCGTGTGCCATTGCATTCGTACCTCCAGCGGAAGCCTCTCTGGTGACACTCACAAGAATAAGATCAACGATTGGATCGCGAAACTGCGTTCTTTGCGCTGCACAAGGACCATTCCAAGCACAGAAACAGGGGCAATCAGAATCAAAAGCCGGGACAGAAGCAAAAGGAGAACAGAACGCGTAGTGCCTCGACGCTTGGTGTCAACAGCAACAGCAACGCAAGCGTTCTCGCGCGAAAGACTTGAGATCGCAAGCGCGAGAGACGGGCACCGTTGGTCTAACAACACCCGCACCGGAAGCACAGCACGGGATAGCAACACCACAGCATGCTCGGCTGGATCCTCGACGAGGCCCACGACCAGGCRGAGAATGCCTGCAACCCCGGAAGTGGCGACGGCGATTCGTGCTCGTCTAGCGTAGCAACACAGCGGGGGAACCGAAGCGCCGAGGACAGCATCGACAGCCGCACCCTGTCGTCCTCGTCGGCTTCGGCTTCGGCCTCGAACGACCTTGCCACGGACGCAGACACGGACACGGATGTCGGGATTGGGAAGCAAAGAAAAGGGAAAAACACATCGGAGAAGGAGCAACACCTCCGTCGCAAGAAACTGGCAAGGGAGCTGCAGCACCGGATCCGGCTCCAGGAGCAGCGGATGCTCCAGCAAAACAGCCTCTACGACGACGACGGCAACAACGACGAACATCGCGACGACAATGAATGGCGAACGAGCGAGGGCAGCCAGGCCGGGAGCGAGAGCAACAGCCACGGTTACAGCGACTCCGACCAAAGGACCTCTGCTGCTGCGCAAGACCACCCGCACAGCGTTTCGAGCAGTGGTGCCTCGTCGTTCGACCACGCCCTCGGAGTAAACTCGAACGGATCCTTTTACTTTACCTCCCTAAACGACGTGGACCGTTCGATAGGCAAGGACTCGCAGGGATACTCGTACTCGCACTCGCACTCGCACTCGCACTCTTCGGTCGGGGGTTCCCCCGCAGGGTCGAGCAGCAAACCAGCGAAGCAAACGCCTTCCTTTCAGGGAACAGCGGGCACCGAACCGCCGCTTCTGCCGACGCATCCACCATCGTCGCCCGCCGGGGACGACGACATCGAAACCGGTCGAAGGCAAGGCGCGGCCCTCGGTGGCTTGCTGCTATGTGGCTCGGGCGGTGCTTCCGGCCTCTCAACGCTKGCCTGCGGAACCACAAACGCAAGGGCGAAGGCAAAGACGACTCCCGGCGACGAAACAGGAGGGGGAACCACCGGACCGGAACAACGATACTCCCTCACCGTTCTCGACGTSGTGGACGACGATGTCTCGCTGCTGGAGAAGGGCTCGGACGAGAGCGGCAGTGCCTCCCTCGTGGATGACGACGACTCGGTCTTTCGCACCGAGCCRACCAACGAGTGCATCCTCCCGGCGTGTCTTACGGGGAASAAGAGTAGAACGCGGCGAACACCGAGGCRGTTGCGGGCCAACCGAAGCGAAARGAACACCGASAGCAACACCCCAAAAAACAGCAACAACAAAAMGAGCAASCATAGAAGAGCGATCCGGCCCAGGATTCTGCTCCTGGTAGGGGTGGCGATCGTCTTCGTGGTGGGGGCGGGGACAGCAGGGGTATTTGTGCAGAAGAACAGGAGGAGCAAGAACGATAGCGCTGGCAGCAGCAGCAACGATAAYAACAACGAGGCAACACCCACTACGGAAGGCGGCAACCAAGCAATCAATGGCTACCGCAACAATTCCACGAGCGACGACATCCCAGTTGCAACTGCAACGGCAACTGCAAACGAAACCGCAACAGCAACAGCAACAGCAAGCGAAACTGCAACCACGGATCCTGGAGAAATAGTCGGGGAAAACACAGGAGTCGCCAGTGCCAATAACACAGAAAATGCAACTTCGGGTGGTGCTGCGGACGGAAACGACGGGGGTGACAAACAAAATGAAGTCGATGACAAAAACAACAGTGACAACGAAATCAAGGACAACAACAACAACAACAACAACAACGACAATGACAATGACAATGACAACGATGACAATAATGATGATGATGATGATGATGATGACGACGACAATGACAATGACAATGACAATGACAACAACGACAACAACAACCACGACGACCACAACAACAACAACAACAACAACAACAACAACAACAACAACAACAACAACAACAACAACGATGACAACGAAGGCGAAGGCGAACCTTCGTTTTTGCCACCACAACAAACGACAGCCCCGACCAAAGAAAGTGCTGCAGCCGAAACCGCAGACGCTTCTCCCACCATCACGATTGGCGGTCGAATCGACACCAACGTCGAAGGGACGCTGCCCCCTGACGACGGCGACCAGGAAGAAACAGAAACAGAAACAGAAGCAGAAGCAGAAGCCACCCCGGCCCCATCCGAGATGCAAACAGATACCCAACCTATCGAACCTCCTTCTGCTCCCGCTGTCATCGACGACGACCTGTTGTTCAACCACATGGAGGCCTTTCGTGCCTGGCAAGCTAGCAACAGAATTAGTGACGATACCGAAGATGACAACGAGGACGGCCACGACAGCAGCAGCAGCAGCAGCAGTACCACCACAAACAACGACCAAGATGATGAAGAAACTACCACGGGCAAGCGAGAGGGAGGCGTCGAGGGCGGCACCGACGACGATTACGAGGTGAAGGAGGGTTCTGAAATCGTAGCACCCCACCACATCTACGTGGAGTTTGACGACGACCTATTGGACGGCCTGGGGCTGGGYATGTAAYGCAACTCGAGCGCGGGATCAGAAGATGGTATGTGACTGGCAGTAGAGCATACCAAAAAATCAATACAGAATTCAACAATAATTATTGGCAAAGAAATTGTCACACACTGTCCAACGGGCCCTTCTTTCTTCCATTCTAGAATGGCCAGTAACCAGCGAAAATGTCTTTTGTAGTTACTTTGTGCAGCCGTTTGAACATGGTATCCTTATTATTCAGTGCTGTTGGTCCTCCTTCAAGGCTCTCCTTCTTCGTATTTGATTTTGTGTCTGTATACCTTCTCACTCGATCCCCTTCTTGAGAGCTATTGCGATGACCTGCTGGATCACTCGTGTTTTCTAGTAGTTTCGGAAATTTTGAATGCCCGGGATTGACGTTCGAACGTCTCGGATTGGAAGCAGTAGTTTTTCATATAATGAATTCGTACGTACTAGTAGTGGCTCTATGGTTTGCTTCGAATGTCAGATGGATCTGGTGTCTTGGTGGTTTTGATGTTGCGTTGCTCCTGTTTTTACGAGACCACCGGCGGACACGTCGCAGCCTAGCCTTTGATGCCGAGTCTGTAGTTCTTTGAAAGTACGGTACGGTAGCGTTGTATTTTCAAGAGTAAGATACAGTGGAAACTCGTCGTACCGTAGTATTCGAGACAGGTATCAATCTATGCTGCCATTCGACAAAAGAGGAACGGATTYGAATTCCGACCATTTTWTCAACCGCTTGCTTTCTTGTCGGAGCTACACGGTGTGATTGGGTCGAGSGTTTGAAAGASTTTCTTCTCCTTCGAAACGTATTTGCCACGAGGGCGTTTGCGGTGTGTTACCGTGTGCTATGCTACCGTGTACTAGGCTACCGTAGTGTTGAAAGGTCCGTTTAAAAAGTGAAGTTATTTCAATAGTAGTGGTAAGTGGTTCGTGTCCGTACAGTAGTGTACACGAACGGCACCCTTTGGGTGGATGCGCTGCTCGTTTCGGTGCTGSACGGGCCGGCCGTGTGTTGCGGGCCGGAAAAGCGGGGGCTCGCGTGGCTTGGCACGGCAAGGTGTGCTTGCTGGCTAGCTTGCCTATTTCTTGTGCATCATGCGCTGGTAAAAGGCGAGCTCCTTGCCCTCCAAAATGTACCCGTCGCAGCGACCGGACTGTCCGGGCCGGGAGGAGATCTTGGCGAGGACGCGTCCCGAGGCAAACTGCGCGTCGAGGGCCTCGTCGAGGGTGCGGTCGGCCTGTCGGGCCTTGAGCTTCTTGGCGACCTGGGCGGACTTGGAGGAGAGGTCGATCGACTGTCCCGAGGTTTCGCCCTCCTTGTTGTTCTTCTTGACGCCAATCTTGACCCCGTAGTGGGACTCGTACCAGGCCTTAAAGGCGTGGGCGTCAATGACGAYAATGGCGCCCTTGACGAGGGTCTTGGTTCGGACCAGTTCGTTGTTGGTCGAGTTGTAGGCCACGTCGAGGACACGGACCTTGCGGGTGCAGACCTCGGATCCCCAGGAAAAGTTTCCAGAGTCCAGGCGGAGGGCCCGGAACTTGGAGTTTCCCCCCCGGCAGCGGACCTTGTGGATGCGGGGCTCGCCGATCTTGGTCATGGCGGCGGGGCGTCCGAGATCGTACTTGCGCTTCTTGCAGAACTGGGCGCGGCGTCCTCCGGTTTCCCGGCGCTTGTGTCGTCCTTCGCGAGTGATACCCTGTCGGAAGCAACAAGAAAAAGTGTGAGAAAGAGAACGATGAAACGAAAACGAAAGACCCACACGAGACGCTTCGACAAAAGGCCCGGGCGTTCCAGGCAAAGCCAAAGSRTGCGGTGCAAAGGGTTCCGGCCAAGCCAGGGTCCGGGAGCAGAGAGAGATGGAGGGGGAAAGCGTGGGAGAGCGAGAGAGAGAGAAACCTGCCGGGAGACGCTGTTTGGGTTCGTTTGCCTCGAGATCGACAGGATGTGCGGGGTGGGGTTGTTGCCGAGAGGCCACGCGATGAGATGCCATGRTACTGCTTCTGGTTCCATCGGGTCGTTGCGCTGCGGTGCGCGGCCTTGCCTTCCTTCCGGTGGAATGGAATGCAATGCAGTGCGGTGCAATGCAACGAGTCCCACCCTTTCTCCTTCCACACAACTTCGGCGGGGGATCTCTTCTCGTGGGTGTGGGAAAACCACCTCTCACACAGACAGCACAGCACGACTCGACACAATCCCACGACACCGGGTCGGGGGCCCGTCTCGCGGGGTGTCGCGTGGTGTTGCGTGGCGTTTCCCGTTGCTCAACAACCACCGTGTGTGGTCGGCACGGCGGCACCCGAGGATCCRCTCGTCTCGGCTCGGTTCCGTTCCCTTCCGTTTTGCCGCTTCCGATTCTAGCCGTGCCGTGCCGGGCGTCCCTATCGCCCGTCTGCGTGGTCGAAAGACTCGTGGTTCCCGTCGGGTTTGTTTCGTTCTCTCTGGGGCAGTGCTTGCTGTCTCTCTCTCGCTAGCTTCTCTTTCTCTCTTTTTGCCCTCCCGGCCCTATTGCGCCTTCCGCATCGTTCTTTGCCTGTCGGTATCGACTATCGAGTTCTCTAGTTCACTGACCATTGTTGCTGTTTGTTTGTTGCTACTACAAAGAAAGGTAAAGTCCGGAGTACCTGTTAGAAGAATGGAAGAGGCGGTGTCTTGCTGTCGCTGTGCTGCGCTCCCGGGTGTTTCGTTCGGCGTCGGTCGGTAACGTCTGCGGCACAGAGGCCGACGAGAATAGTAAGCTGGAAACCGAGGTAAGATTTAGTAAGAGGTAAATCGCGCGCAGCATGCGAACGTACCGTACGTACTACGGGAGGACGGTGCTACTTACTACAGGCAATCCACCGATACGGTAGAGCGGTAGACGAACGTACGATACGAGTACGAGTACGATTCGATGCGTCTACGTCTACGTCTACGTCTACGTTTACGTTGGTTGCAGTAGGTTGTGTGGCTCGGAGGCAGCAGGCAGCACAGCCGTGCCCACATATGAATACTATCTAAGAAGCATACCTAGTGCGTGGCGGGARGATTGCCGTTTCTTCGTTCCAGTACCATACGTTGAGGTACGATACAGAACGTACAGAACGGTTCGTAAGGAACGGTACACACCAACAAAGGAGGGCGCGGTTGACCGAGGACCAACAAAACCGAAAAACGAAAACGCGGGGAAGAAAAAAACGGAACACGGACACCTTCCGTATCGTTCGTTACGGTAGGTACTGGTACTCTACGGTATGTACGGCGGTCCGTCTGGAGTGGAGTTCAACTTGTGCGTTTTTCTTGGTTGCTACGAACCATACATACCGCTGCCTTAATTACAGAACGATAATGCACCGTGTGTGAGCCTGCCCCCTCCTCCTTCGTCGCAAAATTCCAAGCCGTCCGGTACTGTAGTACGTACCAGTTACCGCGCTGTACGGCAAAGCAAGACAGGCACGGAACGACAACAGAACAAAAAGGACGAGCACGAGTACGATTCCTACCGTACCGTACCACGTTTCACCCCGGAACCGAAACAGAAACAGAAACCGCCCTGTACGATACGTACAACAACGAAGAGCAACCCTTGCTTGCCCCTGTCTTCGTGAGAGCAACAACAGAAGAAGAAACAGAAAGAATCCAAGATGCCTAAGCCTAAGGGTGAGTAGAAGAATCGATTTGAGCGCAATGGCTGCTGTTCCATCGCAACGACGCGGACCGGGAACAGAACAAGAGCGGCGGCTTCGGTTCGTTCGGGTACGGTGGACGAAACCAGAGAAAGGCCTTGGGGGGCGGAGGAGAAAGCCGGTGGACGCGGTTTTGATAGCAGCAACAGCAACAACAACAGCAGCAACAACAACAACAACCACTACCAGCAGCAGATGATCTTCCCAAAAGAGAGCACCGGATCCTTGTGGGTGCAGGCGTGCATCCGGAAGGAGAAGGCTAGCGATTTTCGGACGAACAGCTTCGGTGCGAGCTTCGCTGCAAGCGGACGAGGAACGGATGCGAATCGAATGGAATGGAATGAAATCAAATAAATCAAATCAAATTCAATGCGAGAAAATGGACAGGAGGAGGATCGCGGTGCCATTGGTCTGGTCCATTCAATTCCAATGCGATGCGATGCAATGCATTCCAAGAGAAAGCCGTTTCGCTTCGAACCCGAGGGTTTCGTTCCGGGCCGCACACAAAACGAAACCAAACTTCCAAACAAACCAAACCAAATCCAACCACGGCRACGCCCGCAAAATCCGCTCCGGCGGCGTCGGGGGTTGTGTTTGTTGCGGTTGCTGCCTGTTTTCCTCCTCGCTGGCTTGCTGTTTCCCGGCCGCTCGTCTCGGTCCTTCCCTCTGGTTGTTGTCTCCTTGCTCCCTTGGTTCCTCTGGAGACGGAATCGAAGGCAATCGAACGGAAAAGACAACCCAAGGCGACAAAAAGCGACGCCACGCAACACAACACAACGGTGCTGTTGCACAGGAACGAGTGACCGAGCCACGAACACAGAACGCACCGTCTGTTTGTCTGTTTGCGAACGGAACCGATAACGGAGGATGGAGGATTTTTTTTTGCGAATTGGATCTGGATCTGGACTCACACACCCCTGTTTTCYGATTTCTTTTTGCATCGTGTTCGTTCGCTGCCGCGCTGCACCGCACTCGTTGCGGGTCGTCGCAAACCATTGCCACACAACGTACACCATACACCATACACCATACACACCACAGGAAAGGGAGGAAAGAACCGGAGACGGGGAAAGGGAGACGGCGAGGAATCCAAGCGCGAGCTCGAGTTCAAGGAGGACGGCCAGGAGTACTCCCAGGTGGTCAAGATGCTCGGCAACGGCCGCTGCGAGTGCTTCTGCTTCGACGGTGTCACCCGGCTGGGGCACATCCGCGGAAAGATGCGCAAGAAGGTCTGGATCACCGCCGGAGACATCGTCCTGGTCGCCAAGCGAGACTTCCAGGACGAGAAGGTGGACATTGTCCACAAGTACACGGCCGACGAGGCGAGGAACCTCAAGCAGTACGGGGAACTCCCCGAGAACGCGAGGATCAACGAGACCGCCGTCGACATGGCCATGGGCAACGACGGGGACGACGACGACGACCTGGGTATTTCCTTTGACGACATCTAGGCGGAGTGGAGTGCAGTGCAGTGGAGTGGAGTAGAGCGCAGTGGAGCGCAGGCCGAGGCCGGGGCGAGCCGATATTGTCCCGAGAAAGGCGAGCTGTGTGAGTGTGTCTGTGTCTGTGTGCAAGCAACGAAACCACAACGACTATTGGTAGCGAGTACGGAACTACTAAACTAAACAACCAAACTAAAATAAAATAAGTACCGTATGGCACTACAATGCCTTGGTTTGTGGATGTTTGTTTCGTCTGTAAATATAGATATAGTGCAGCAGCGATACACGAACGACACCGATGGATCATCAATAGATCAAAGCACGGTTTTCCTATGCCTGTATGTATGTATCTAGGACAACATCCCACCATCTCTGTTCCGCATTCTTCCGGATCACTTCGGCGTGCCGATGGTCGTGCGACTGCGTAGTACTTCTGCGTCTTGGACGCTGAGAACCTAAACCGTACCGTAGCGGAGAACGAAACAAGGAAAGGTTTCGTTTCAAAAAAGATAAAATGTCGAGCACGACTGTTTTTAGTGCGAAAAGCAAAAAGTATCTGCAATCGAACGCTCTACCTCTGAGCTACAGGTGCGTAGCAGCACCCGACGTGAATCGAACACGTGACCATTCGAACTCTGCTGACTAATCATCTGGGGCAAAAAATAGTATATAAATTATAATCAAATTAACCCGCGAAACGATATTCAACGTTTCACCACTTGTACTAGTAGTACTTAATATTACTACCTGCAGGTACTATTTCACATCTATTCTTAAGCTCCTTACTGCAATGCCTTGATGTGACCAAAATTATATCGTTAATGAAACTTAGTACTACAATTACAACTCCTATGATAAATAAATACATGTGTATATAATAGTATGTACTATGATGTTGTTGGAGCAGCAGCAGGAGGGCCCGCCCCTACTACTAGTAGTAGTAATAGTACTACTATGGTGGTGGCTGCACCAGCCCTTCATAGTACTACTAGTAGCAATGGCTTTTTTCCTCCTCCTCAGAGGGTGGGTTGTAGCAGGGGGACAAAAATTGAATTTAGATACCACCAGTAGTACCTACTACGTCACAAAAAGTGTTCGCGGGGTTTGGTCGCAACCCCGCGCGTGTAGTTTTTGTGCGACCACTTAACACGGTGAA